TTTTTTTTATTTGAAACATGAGCATCAGCAATGACAGTCCAAGTGATTTATGAAAAGAAAGAAGACCACAACCGCATTGACACGTTTTTAAAGCCATGGTGGTACAGTAGTTCCTCCTCCATGAGCTGTCTGGGCCTCACATATGTAAATAAAACCTTTCAGCATATTCCATTTTAACAGGGCAAACTGATACCCCCGGGGGCCATCGTCTGTTTCAAAACCCTTACAAGTGTAATCGGTAGTAATCCATCCTTTTCAGGTCCTGCATTCACAGATAACAAAGCGCTTATACCCATCTTGCCCTTCTCCATTTACTTCTGGTGTTTAATAGAAGTGGTTTTGCTGCCACGTGTTAAAAGTTCAGCTCCTGGGGAAGTATGTGAAACTGAGAAGTTACAGCTTTTGAGCACTATCCCCCCACAGGCGAATAAGGGAGAGTTTACGTAAAAGTCCTATTATTCTGGACATGGCTCTGGACACGGGTCGCTCTGGTGGTAGTTCAGTCCAGAGTGTCGAAGAAGGCGTCGTACAGTCCAGGAAGACCTACAGCTTCTTCCCTTTGTGCAGTCTGTTGTAGCGCCAGATATTTTCTTTCCTTAAACGCTTCCAGTATTCCCAGGTGTCGGACTCCAGCTCGTGCAGCTTTTTGGCCTCTCCCAGGTCCAGCTGGAACAACCTGAGCCACCACGGGAGTGGAAAAGAAGGAAGACAAGATGTGAAATGTGCGTACTGTAAACTCCCTGCAGGTTTATCAGAAGTCTCTGATAAAATAAAAACTAAAAGTACTAGTTACATTTCTGCTTCACATTGTTAAATTTCTGTGCTTTGGTTAATATGTGAGGAATAAGATAGAAAAGCACCAGATACAGATTGAATTGAGTCAGCTAAAACCAGTTTTCAGTTTTACATACATAAAAATGCCTGACAACACATTCAAATTACATTTAAAAAAAAGAATAAATGTAAAATAAAGACACCTAAAACAACCATTTGTACATCTCAGTTATTTTTATTGCAGAAAGGGGAAATGGATCTGCCATTTTTCACTAAAAAAGCAGCAACAATTCTCATACTCAAATATTAAAATCTAATGGGCTCCAATTTGAACAAAATTCATTTTAGGCCCATTGTCTTCTTTTATTTTCTTACATCATAATGCAAACGTGTCAAAATGGGTCTCAAATAACAGTTACTTTAAAAAAATTAATAAAACGGGGTCAGAAGGGGATTGAAACAATGCCCAAATTGTCCAGTAATGTCAGAAAACAACAGATATTGGTATATGCAATAATCAAAATGCCCCCAGGATATTTTAGAGTTATAGCAAGCAAAAGAAAGGAAGACCTAAAGGACACCAGAAAGTAAACACTCACCACTCTGGGTATTCCTCCTGAGGCTTTAGTTTGGGGTCTTCCCCTTGTTTAAAGATGTTGGCCCCCACAGCATAACCAGTGAGTCTGACTGGGTCCTTGCACACTTCTGGGCCTTTCAGCTCCTCTTTCAACATGCCTTTTCCTTTTCCCTTGGCCGCTGAAAGGCGAAAGAGCAGTTTTAGGATAATAACACCTAACCTCCAATACAAAACAGAATAAAACAGGACGCTAACAATGTAAATACTGGCTAATCTGACATGCTAACACAAGCTAACATGATGTACTTGAGGTTAAGTGTCACGTAGGAATAAGACAAAACTTGTCAGATACCCATTACACATTTAAATACCCATATCTATCTGGAAAAGGACACTTAATGCAGACATATTCACGTTTAGGTGCAGTGTATAGGTCGTTTTACTTACCAACTTTCTTAGCATAGCCACATATCTGCGTTCGGTTTAACGTGTTCGTCCTGCTAAGAAAAGCTGCAGCGTAGCTCGTAATGTTTTGTGTTGACGGTGCTATCCGACATAAACTGTAGCGTATCATTTTTAACCTGCGTTACCTAAAGACTGAGTACACCATGCTACAGTTTGACATTCATGGTTCCCCAACTTCCGTTCTTCTTTTTTTTAGGTAGAACTGTGCACTGCCGCCGCTGGATTGGAGGAGAAACTGCTTCTGTTGTTTCTCCTAAATCCAGAAGGTGGCAGCAACGAACTCCCTCCGTATGTGCCGATAATAACAAAGTAGAAGAAGACGATAGTCTGGTCCGCAAACATGTCTGACTACGGAACAATCCAGAAGAGCGTCTTGAAACTAAAAGGAGTTGGTGAACTCTCAGCTGGAAAAAAGTGGGTATAGTTGTAGTTACAATAAATGAGAAGTTATTTTATTTGTATTTATAAATCTAGTCTAAATTCTATATCGAAATTAGCACTTGGTTCATCGATGCCATTTGGCTAATCGTTGAGCATAATGTGTTGATATTTATTAGATTAATTAACTTAATGTTAGCTAATCTGTTTAAGTGTGAAAAAGACATTTCACATTAAATACAGTCGCTTTCTCAAAGGTTTGCAACAAACGATTGAAAATGTGGGGCCAGAAAGCTTTGGCTTGCTAGCATTAGCTCACAGGTGAAGTTGACGTAGGCCATAGGCAATGCAGTTATTCACGACTTTAAATGAACATGAAGATGGCTTTATATGAATATTATTGAATAATTTACAAGGATGTTGATCAGAGACTCACATTTTTTAAATGTTCAAGTTAATTTATCATGATAATGAACATAAATACGACATTTATAGCAAGAATATGTTGCTTGATAAAAGAAAATATGCATTGAAACGCTAAATAGACAGAATTGAAGTATGACAAGCGTAGTTTTCATTTACATCCAATAGTAGACCCGATTGTATGCTGATATATACATGTCGAACATTTGCAAAAGCTTCCAGATAAAGAAAAACTGTTAGGATTTTGTCATATGGCCAGAGGGAGGTTGTGTGAACCACAAAGTGACAATTGACAGTTTTTAAAAACATTTCTTTCCGTCTTCTTTTAGGAAGAAGAAGAAAAGCAAAGAGAGCAAGCATCGCCTGGAGCAGCTTGAGACCAGTCAAAATGAGGAGGAGGTGAAAAACAAGAAGGCGTACGTTGACAAAAGGACACCAGCCCAAATTGCTTTTGACAAGACCCAAGAGAAGAGGGTAAGATTTGGGTCGAACTTTTAAAGCAATGGTGATTAGATCGGCCTGGATGACAAAAAAAAGCTCAGGAGTTTATACCAGCTCTCTGTCGCAGGGCCGCAAATACAAATGAGACTAATGGAGATGCCTATTTTTAAAAGTTTGCTTTTTAAAATGTCAAATAGTTGAAAGAAAGAAAAAAATAATGGTACATTTCAAAGTCTACACGATTTATGAGGCTAATAATCCTGTCCTGTGGTGGTTGGGATGATGTGGTTATCATATCTTTGTACCCTTTAAGTCATTCTCTTTCTCTCTTGCAGCAAATGGAGCGGATTTTGAAAAAAGCATCAAAAACACACAAACACCGAGTAGAGGTAAGTTCAGACATGTGAACCTGGACTTTGATTCAGTCAAAACAAGGTGGATTATTGTGAAATATACGATGGAACTCATTTTAATATTGACATTTCTTGTTTTTTATTTAAATGTTCTATGCTGTTTCCACCCCAAAGATTGACATGCATTAAAATGTCATCTCAAAAAGCTAATTCTTGCTTTATTAACTTTTCATGCTTTAAAATGTGATTTTATTTTCCCGTTTACAGGATTTCAATCGCCACCTGGACAATCTGACAGAGCATTACGATATCCCCAAAGTCAGCTGGACCAAGTAGAAGAGCAGAATTCAGATTGGCCTTTTTGTATTATTGTTACTTGTCACAGCTTGCCCAAGGTGTGTGTGTTTATATTTTAATTTACTAGCTTCATGTCCTCACATTTAAATCCTTTAGTTGAAGTTTCTCGTGTACACAATAAAGAGTAGAAACATTCAATAACTTTGTGTATTAGTCTCACATTTCAAACACTCCTATTGGTGGTTTCCCTGTGCATATGGATAAATAAGAAAACTCAAATTATAATGCATTTATTTGGATAGATACTGGGACACCCCAGGAATGGCACAGATTGTAAACCCGAAAGTTAATGTTGAACAGAAATCTGCCCCGTTAAAACAAATTTGTGCTGAACAATCTTAACTAGTAATGACACCGCATTCCCTCATACATCACAATGGTCTTTAGCGTTCATTTTACAATATGACACAACCCAACTTTGAAGTTTTACAAAAGAGGAGGAAGTAGCTTCAAACGGCAAAGAATTCTCTGAACCTTTATTAAGAGATGTCCGGGATTAAGAAAACGTTGAATTCATACAGTCACACGGCTTTGATTGAACTGGAAACTCTCTTCTCTTATCCGAAAAGAGTTTCTTTGTTGTTGCTTTTTTTCAGTGTTTTGGGGGTTCACTTTGGCCCCAGCATCTCGCTGGGCTTCACCCACTGGTCGAACTGCTCCTCGGTCAGGTAGCCCAGCTCCACGGCCACCGCCTTGAGCGTGGAGCCCTTCTTGTGCGCCGTCTTGGCGATGGCGGCCGCCTTGTCGTAGCCGATGTGCGGGTTGAGCGCGGTGACCAGCATGAGCGACTCGCTCATCAGCTTGTTGATCCTCTCCGTGTTGGCCTGGATGCCCACCACGCAGTTGTTGGTGAAGGAGACGGAGGCGTCGCCCAGCAGCTGCGCCGAGTTCAGCACGTTCTTCACCATCATGGGCTTGAAGACGTTGAGCTCGAAGTGTCCGTTGCTGCCCCCCACGGTGACCGCCACGTGGTTGCCCATCACCTGGGCCGCCACCATGGTCATGGCCTCGCACTGGGTGGGGTTGACCTTCCCCGGCATGATGCTGCTGCCCGGCTCGTTCTCGGGCAGGATCAGCTCGCCCAGGCCCGAGCGGGGCCCCGAGCCCAGGAAGCGGATGTCGTTGGCGATCTTCATCATGCTGACCGCCACGGTGTTGAGCGCCCCGCTCAGCTCCACCAGCGCGTCGTGCGCCGCCAGGGCCTCGAACTTGTTGGGCGCGGTGACGAAGGGCAGGCCGGTGAGGGACGCCACGGTGGCGGCCACCTTCTCGGCGAACCCGATCCGGGTGTTGAGCCCCGTGCCCACGGCCGTGCCGCCCGCCGCCAGCTCGTAGATCCGGGGCATGGCCGCCTTGACCCGCTCCATGCTGTACTTGACCTGCTGGACGTAGCCGCTGAACTCCTGGCCCAGCGACAGCGGCACGGCGTCCTGGGTGTGCGTGCGCCCGATCTTGATGATGTCTCGGAACTCCAGGGCCTTGGCGGCCATGGCGTCGTGCAGGGTCTGGAGGCCCGGCAGCAGGACCTGGTGGACCTCCGTGGCCACGGCGATGTGCATGGCCGTGGGGAAGGTGTCGTTGGAGCTCTGGCTCTTGTTGACGTGGTCGTTGGGGTGGACGGGGTCCTTAGAACCCAGTGTCCCTCCCAGCATCTCGATGGCCCGGTTGCTGATGACCTCGTTGACGTTCATGTTGGTCTGGGTTCCTGACCCGGTCTGCCACACTACCAGGGGGAAATGGTCGTCCAGCTTACCGGCGGAGACCTCGTCCGCTGCCCGGGAAATGGCGTCCGCTATCTTTGGGTCTAGGCCGTACTCCTTGTTCACCTCGGCGGCTGCTTTTTTTAGGATTCCGAAAGCCTTAATGACTTGTAACGGCATTCTCTCGCTCGGGCCTCCTATCTTGAAGTTCATGGTGGATCTGACGGTCTGGGCGCCGTAGTACTTGTCGGCCGGGACCTTGAGCTCACCGAAAGTGTCCCGCTCCGTCCTGTACTCGGAGCTGGCCATTCTGGACGTGCTGACGAGGGCTTTGGAGTTGAGGCGGAGTCCCTGTAAAGACAGGAGGCTGCAGTTAAACTGCTGGGCGCTTCTCAAAGACCGAAACATGGCTTCGCATTAGAGGTGAATCGGGGGGGAGGTCAACGCTGGTTTCCACATTCTAACCTGCTATTGGGCGAGTAATAAACTTGATGACCAACCAGCCAATCGCGGCGGGAGGAAGGCGGGATTTCCTCCCGAGCTGTCCTATCGCGTGCGGTCGAATGGACTACTACATCCGGATCTGTGAAGTGTATCAAAATAATGTCTGACGACGTTTCCGACGATATGACCAAGAGCACGTTACTTGGAAATAAAACCCTTTTTTTTTTTACTTGAGATATATTTCCTATTTATTGTATTTTTAAAAGCACGATTCTAATTATCAAAGTATTCCCACAAGAGATGCCAACGTAACATTTTTGATTCAGTGGGTTTTTTGTCCTATAACTTATTTTAATGAAGGATTGATATTTGTGTAATTCATGTCCAAAAGTTCTGTAAACTTTACTTAGATTCAAATTGACATGCTATACTTAATATTAATATACTCAGTTTATATTCAGTGTTGCATTTGTGATAGAAAAAAGTGACAATAGTAATGATTAACACACTGCAGGACTGAGATCTATTTTGTTGAAAAGATATTTAGAATATCAGACAACTGAGGAGACTGTTGGACTTCAGACAGACAAATGGTGTCCCATTTTACCAGGATGTAGAATACCAGCTCTTCAACTGTGACAGGACTTCTTTAACATATTAATTCTTTTGTGATCCACTATTGTTTGCAATTCCTGAAATATGAAGTTTATGTAGTCTAGACTTAATGATGATGGAATGCTGTGTTTAATGATGCAGTATTTGTTTCAGCCTTGTCTTGTGGTGATATGCTGAGCCTTTCACGAGAGAAATTTTTTTTAGATGGGAATAAAAGTTGCACTGATATCAGTAAGTACTTTTCAGAATCAATAATGTCTTTTCATATTTGCACATTTTCATTGCCAACCGACAATGGACCTCAAAGTGGCAGATCATTGACTTGTGAAATCCTAGTCCTGTAACTGTAGTCCTCTAGTCCTAGTCCTGTTAACCTATTACTCAGTTATTGAATTCATTTTGCAGCTAAAAAGCCATTGCTGTACATTGGCACAAGCCACAGGTGTTCCTATTGTGTGTGGGTGTGTACAATCTTACCAACTTTCATTTCAAATTCTCTAATAGCCTGAAACACGGATTAAAACTTCCATTTTTGGAAACTGTCACAAAATACTGTGCATTGTTACTTTTTTTATCTCAAGTTTTATGAAGCGATGTGTGTTTTATTTTGAAGCCTGAGCATGGTCTGAAGGCGGAAGTAGTCGATGCGTAACTTCTATCTTCTCGTCGCCGTCCCTTCTCGCGGTAACGTTGGTATCGGTTAGTATGCGGTTAGCTTGCTAGCTAACTACATCGTTTCCAGGTTTCGTGTCGACCTGAAAACACCATACCAAGAGAGACACGGCCCTAGCTCAATCTTTTTTTTAATTCAGGCTGCACGGAGAAGCGGGACAATGCCACACAACTTTCAGCCCGGAGACCTGGTCTTCGCTAAAATGAAGGGATACCCCCACTGGCCAGCTAGGGTAAGCAGGCAACGTTAACAGCGGACGGAGGGGCGGAGGAGGGGGTTGGCTGTTTTGCTTGGGACGCTGGAGACGATTCTGTCTGTATCCTTGCTCGGTTCGATACATATTAATAGACATATTCGTGACATAGTGTCTACTGGTTGACAAAACGCTGTATAGGCCCGGAGACAGCTCCAAAGAGGGGAATTTGCATATGATGCTGCTGGCCTAATGTGAGGAGGCATAATCCAGCCAAGCTAACGCTGATAATGTGGACATGACGTTTGATATGACTTGTTTTTTGGGACTATGAATAACCTCCCCAGATGCACTGTAAATGACACGATAGAATTATTTTAAACCAGTTAACATTTATTCCTATCCCCGCCCCCTAGGTTTTTAATGTATTGATCTACTGTGGTTGAACATGCTAGGCATCCTTTTTTTGGTTCGTCTCTCTGTCCGCTTTAATATTTTCTTGTTTCCAGATTGAAGACGTGGCTGATGGAGCAGTGAAGCCCCCACCTAATAAAATTCCTATATTTTTCTTTGGGACACATGAAACGTGAGTACATCGGTCAGTTTCTGATTGAATTTAGTGCTTTGTATCTCTGGGATGTCCTTTTGTGATGTGTCCATGGCTTATTTGGCATCAACCTCCCAGGGGTGAAAACATAGTAAAATCCTTAGTGGAAAAAGTACTTGAGGGATCATAATTAAACCATCTTTCCACTGCTTGAATTTCCTGAACCTCTCTGCAAACACATCTTTTTAAAAAGTCTGCATAAGAGAAGAAATTTGGATTCTTGTACTGACTAAAATGAATTGATTGTGACAGTTTTATTGCCACCTCGTGTTTTAAAGTTTAAATGGTGTGAGGAAAATGCTCATAAAACTGGTTTTGCTGGACACCTTTGCTCACTAATCGCGTCCCAGGCTTGTTAATTTTGGTGTGTGTGAGCATGCTGTGTGTTTCAAAGAGATGTATTGACATAGTGGATAAAACTGCACCTGCAGTACATCATTCCACCGCCAGGGGGGCTCAGCGAGCCCTTCCAAAGTCAAGCCAGAGCAAACCCCCCTTTGGAATAAGAATAAGGATCCTGTATTTTAAAGAATACTTAGGTCTTGAGAAACTTTTCAGTTCAGAACCGTCACCCTTTTTTCTAATTTCTGTCTTCCACAGAGCATTCCTTGCAGCTAAGGACCTTTTTGCCTATGAGAAGTACAGAGAACGCTACGGGAAGCCCAATAAAAGGAAGGGATTCAACGAAGGTTTATGGGAGATCCAGAACAATCCCCACGCCTCTTACAGTGCCCCGCCCGTAGTAAGCCATCTTCCTATCCGATAACGTGGAAGAACATTCGTTCATTTTAGAACTCAAAGGCGTTTAATTATTCATTCATTTCTTATTGAAGCACCCTGAGAGGGTGAATCTGATTTCCTGTGCTCGCACCTGCAGCCGCCCAGCTCGTCTGACAGCGAGGGTAACAGCGCTGGAGGAGGAAGCGAGCCGGAGGATGACGAGGAGGACACCGCGCCGGCTCCGCAGAAGGCCGATACGGGCAGCGAGGACGACTCGGATTCGGGGAGCGAGGATGGAGGAAGGGGAGGCGGAATGAAACGGAAGCCGCAGGCACCCAAGGTAGCAAAGCGTGCCGACACTCGGTGTCATTTACAGCGGGTTTGAGCTATGGGTAACTTCTGTTACAGAGGTCTTGAACTGCTTTTTAATGTTTCTGCTGTGTGTAAAGAGGAAACAAACACCTTCTTGGCCTAAACCTTAACTTCAAGAGCAATTATGTTTATGCCTCAATGCGTGCTGAGAAACTGTCTGCTTGAGCAATAATGTCAACAGGCTTAAAGAATATAAAAAATTCAGCATTTCATGCAAGTTTCTCTCTTTTTTTTTATAAATAAAGCGCAAAATCACAGTGAAATGTGCAGTATTTTGCAGGAGTGTTGCTAATATAAAATTACTTTTTCTTTTGTTTATTTTTTACACCCATTTTAGCGAGCCCCTCCTCAGAAAAAGGCCCGGGGCTCTTCCAGTGACCGGGGCGAGGAAAGCGGATCTCCTTCAGAATCAGAACCGACGCCGTCCGAGTCTGACTCTGGAAAAAATAGTGATCAGGTAATGATTTCCACAACCATTCTAAACGAGCACATCTAAACACCAAAGGGTTTGTAACTGATGGTTTTTTCTTTTTTTTTTTGTTTTTCTCAACAGGATTTTACTCCAGAGAAAAAAGCTGGTGTGCGAGCCGGTAAGAAAGCAGGAGGCAGAGGAAAGAAAAAGGTGAAGCTCGAGTTCTGTTTGGCTTGTGTGTGTCATGAAATTTGATGTTTCCTCTCCTCTTATCTACATTTATCATGTGTTTCCGTCTGATGTGGCAGAAGGCTTCGTCCGGCTCGGATTCAGACTCGGGATCGGCGGCGGAGAAGAAAGCAGTGGACAGCGACTCGGAGGACGAGAAGCCTCGACCAGCTCTCTCCGGCTCCGAATCGCAGTCTGGCTCCAAGTCCGAATCGGAGTCGGATCCGCCTCCGCGGAAGGGCCCCGTGCAACGTAAGAAAGGTGCGACCTCATCCACGGCTGGCCGAAAAGATCCTGCCTCCCCCAAAAAGCCCAGAGACAGGCGCAGATTAGGATTCAATCAATCAATCAATCACTTTATTTTGGTAACTTGTCCACATTAAACACAAGAAACAACAAAAAGAAAAAAAGAAAAAACAATAGACAAACCCACAGTTTACCAAAAAAGGAATAGGCCGAAGCAAAGCTTATTCTTGCCTACCCTATTTTTTTACCTTACAACCTTACAACCTACCGGGAGTTCTTCAAATTCAGATTCAAGTACATAGTAGTAATTCAAGGATCCCTTTCTTTTTCACACACATGTGTTTTTTTCCCCCAATTCGCAGAAAAACCTGCACCAAAGCCTCGCGCACGGAAACCGAAACCCGCGCCCAAACGAGCGCCCTCGTCCTCCTCCAACAGCGACAGGTCAGGCCGGGGCGAGGGCCGCCGCCCCTCTCACGCTCTTTGCGTCTCAAAAGTCACCCTGTGATTCGTCTGTGGCTCTTTTTCTTTTCTCTGTTTCTACATAAAGTGACAGCGAACCCGACCGCATCAGCGAGTGGAAGAAGCGCGACGAGGAGCGGCGGCGGGAGCTGGAGGAGCGGCGGAAAAAGGAGGAGGCCGAGGAGCTGCGGCGGCTGCGGGAGCGCGAGAGGGAGGAGGACGAGGAGAAGAAGAAGAAGAACAAGGACAAGGCCAAGAAGGAGAGCGGCAGCGACAGCAGCAGCAGCTCGGACGAGGGGATCGACGACCACCCTCTGAAGAAGTCCAAGAAGCCCCCCCCCTCCTCCCATCCCGGCGCCATCCGACTCCGATTCCCCAGCCGAGGTACATCTCCGACCAAAACTAAATACGTCTCACTCGCCTAAATCCGAAAATGCCCTAGATGGCATACCCGGCTAAATAATTTCAGTTACGTGCAATTTTTTGATCGTTTTACCTCCAAAAGGTGAAAAAGAACCCCAAGAAGCACGACAACCAGAAGAAGGCGAGGATAAAGAAAGAGAAGGAGAAAAAGGAAAGAAAGGAGAGGGAGCTGAAGGAGAAGAAGGCCAGGCGGTCAGAAGAGAAGTCCAGAGGAAGGTGAGAGGGCTAAAAGGGGAGCGGACAGCAGTACACAGATGTCACTGGAAGAAGGTGATTAAATATTGAAGGACACGGATCACAGAGTTTCCTTCTTGCTCTGTCACTCAGGTCCAAGCCTGAAAAACCCAGACGCCGGCCAGAAAGGCTGCCAGAGAAGAAAGTGGAAAAGAAAAAGGGTACGTCACATTCTCCTCCTTATCCAGACATGTAGATCTTAAGACTGAAAGCATACAAGTCCCTTTGATAAAAGGAAAAAAAGTAGTAAATGAGTGTTTTATGTCCAGAGCCGTCACCAGAGGAAAAGCTACAGAAACTCCATACTGACATTAAGTTTGCACTCAAAGTGGACAACCCAGTAAGCTCTACCAAACACACTTTTCCTGCTGAGTAATTTCGAATAGTGGCATGAAAACTCACTTTTTTTTCCTCCTTCTTTTTTTAGGACATCGAGCGATGTCTGGAAGCACTAAAGGAGCTGGAGGAGGTACCCGTCACCAGTCAGATCCTCCACAAGAATGCTGAGGTCATCGCCACCCTTAAGAAGGTACCCCCCTTTGGTCTACAGTTTTAAACACATAAAGCCCCCTGCGTTCAGTCAGAAAATCCCGGAAAATAAGCCATTCACCACCATACACCATGGTTCTTACGTTTTTCCCCCCATAATGTTTAAAAACGGCTCAAAGTAAAAGGCTGTACGAATGACTTGCCGCTATCCAGACAGAAAATTTAAACCACTGACGGGCAAACATGCAAAGTTCTGCCAGGAAACTTTAGGGTCACATTTTCTGCATTATTACATGTCGAACGCTTGCTATCCTCTATTTGCCGCTGACAGATTCGGCGGTATAAAGCCAGTGCCGCGGTCATGGAGAAAGCTAGTGATGTCTACAACAAGTTAAAACTTCGCTTCGTCGGCAAGGCAGAAGTGGCAACTAAACCTAAATCGGAGAACAAGGAAGATGAGAGTGAAGAAAAGAAGACCGAGAACCCTGGTAAAGTACCATTTCTTGGGTATTGTTTTCACCATCTTCCCACAGTCCTGTACAAATCTGTACTTGTACTTTTGTAGAATCCACTCCGGTAAACGGGGACTCAAACGAGAAAAAGAATTACACAGAGGTGGAGGAGACACCGAAATCTCCCAGAGAGGAGGAGAACAATGACGATGAAGCTTCAAGTCCAAACAGGTGAGCCTCTGACGAGACCTGATGGTCAGCCTTTGCTTCCATTTAACATGTATTCCACCAGTGGAATATGTCTATGAAGCTCTCTTTAAGAAACAGAGTTTTAAACCCAATAACTTATTTTTTGATTCATGGAATCTTTTAAGAATAAAAATGGTGGACCTTCTTTGGCATGTTTAAAATATAACAAAAATGTTATCCCACTGTTTCTTAATGTTTCGGTTTTCTCCCTGTAGATGCAGCCCGGACAGTCCAGCCGAGTCGAAAACCCACACGTACGATGAAGCCGACCGCCCCATTTCGGCGGAGACGGAACCCCCCGCCGTCGAAAGCTAAAAGACTCCTGAAAGCCGAACGTGGCGGACCACGTGCTAAAAGACGATGGCCTCAGTTAGACGCCATACACCGCTCCTGGTCCAGAAAACACACAGCCCTGATCTCCCACCGCATCTGTTACTCCAAGTGTTGATGTTTTGGACATTTATTTTCCTTTTTTTTTTTTTGTCACCGTGATATCAAACCAGAAATCTCCTCTTCTGAAACTCTTTGGTCCATTGTTTTCTCGCAGTAAACAGAAAAGCATCTTAGGTTAATAGTTTCTGGTGCCTCACAAGCTTTTTGTTTTCCTTTTTTGTTTTGTTTTTCTTTCTGAAAACTACACCGTCTGCCCGTCCTGGATCCTTGCCTCAGACAACGACTCCTGTTCTGTCTACCACACGAACTCTTAACTTTTGTCTGTCATACCGTACTTCTATAAAATAATCACATTTTTAGCCGTTCTGACTAGGCTGGGGTAGCATGAGATGAAACTTGACTCGTGGGAAGAAACGGAGACATGCTGTTTATTAATTGCGACGAGCATTTTGTGCTGCCCTAACATTTGTTTGCTTCGTTTTATAAAGCCTGCCAAACATCACAAAGGCCTCTTGTCTGTGTGTGTGACATTGTGAGAGTGGTGAAGTACTATGTGTAAAACTTTTATGTTCAAATTTTTTTTTATGATCTGATCTAGATCTAATTAATTCAGTCTTGAACTTAAACTAAATTAAAAGCTGTTTTTCAGCCGAGGCCCACCTATTTTTTATTGCGATGTGTTCATATAAATACAGTTTTGTCTAAAATAATTGCAGCCGGAGTGAAACGCCTTGCACTCTTCTCTGTAATGTCTGCTTTCAGCAACTTAGAAAATAAATGGAATACCAGTACAGACTCCAAACTGCCCTCAGAACCGCCGGATCTCATGTTGCTGCACCCTATTTTGACATGTAACTGTCCTGTGTGTACAACACGTGTTTTTAGTGCTATGTAAATTGGTAAAGCATTTCTATCACTTAGTCGAGACTTAAATAAAAATAAATCTCGTCATGGTTTTGTTGCCCTTATTTCCTACAGAGCAAAATGGGCTTCAAGTCTTTTAAAAGGGCAGCTGTGACCAGGATGGATTCGTTCATTGTCTATGACATTTGATGGGGGTTTGTATTGGAAATACAAACTTTTTGGAGAGTTTTGCAAAAATAAGTAAAGTAAAAAATGTTTTAAAGATCGATTTTATGTTAAAATGTCGTTTAAGATGTTGCAATCTGGGCTCAAAATTCCTTCCAGAAAAAGAAATACAAATTTTGGGAGCGATGGAGTAATCTTTAGCAAAAAAAATGGCAAGAATAAGGTGAAAGTTAATTTTTTTTTTTTTTTTTTTTACAAAAATCGATTTTATGGTTAAAAAAAAACATTTGAGATGGCCTCAAAATTCGTTTTGCTGGTCATACTATCAAACTATCTATTATACGAAGTTGGTTAAGTCTTTTAAATATAATAATAAATAATAACAAAGAAATACTTTTTTTTAAATGTAATTAATAATAATTTAGCTGGATACCTCATCATTTGCATTTGTAAACATTCTACCTGTAATACAAAATATTTATAATAATAATAAATAAATGAATAATTATTTCGTTATTCAGGCCGTATACGTGGGTGTATAAGTGTATAAGTGTGTGTCTGGTCCTAATGGTGTGGTTTAATCTCGGAGTGTGCCACATAGCGGATGACTCCTTCGAACTGGGGTCACTGGACCTTTAATTCCACCGATTCCCACATGAGAATCTCGCGTAATACTCCAGTCAGCTGACTTAAGACGCCATTTTGTCAGCCATTTCCTCCACTGATCCATTCCCAGCGTCTCCGCACAGCTCGGGACGCCCCGCTCGGCCCTCAGCAGCTTCGCCAGCCCCGGGCCCGGAGAACCGCCGCGGACCCTGCGAGCACCCGCACCCGGGTGGATGAGAGACGGTCTGCGAGACCTCCGCCAAGGCCCCCCGGACCCGCAGGACAGAAGCGACCCAAGCCGCTCACAGACATGGCTTTGAAGATTGTCAAAGGGAGCATCGATCGGATGTTCGATAAAAACCTCCAGGATTTAGTACGTGGCATCAGGAATCACAAGGAAGATGAGGTACGACGCTTATTTAACGCCGGTTTGTGTCGGTGTCGCCGGTTGGAGGGACGTCTCCATTACCGTTACACCGCGGCTAGCTAGCAGACGATAACGGCTCGCGCTGGTTGAGTTGACGTTAGCCCCGTCTAAGTTGACGTTAGCCCCGGCCGTTGCTACCGCTTGCTAGCGGTTAACCGGACAGCCGGCGGGTTTTAACGGCAGCTAACGCGGCCGGTTCTCGCTTTTTTCCAACGACAGGTCATGGAAAGATGCTGTTTGGAAACGTCGGTTAAGCGTATCGGGCTCTGAACAGCTAGCAGGGCTGGTTCCCGCAGCTAGCCGACAGTTGGAGGAAGCTGGCTGCAGAATATCCCAGTTCAGCACGGAAATCTTTCAAAACTGACTCGTATCAAATAAGAAACAAGAATTTGTGTCGTATTTGTGGCCTTTAGTTTACAGAGGCTCCAGGAGCTCAAAGTGTTTTCACACGTCATTGTGTGTTTTTGGAGAAATTAACCAAACACAATGATACTGGTGACGTTGTTGAAAGGTTAACGAAGCATTCAGTTACGACAAATTGACACCGAACTGGGGCAAAAAGAATGCACAAATAAAAATTAACACAATTCGACGTCTTAATTCCGAATTCCAGTTTCTATCTCGGAAAGAATTCTTTACTTTAAGTTCCCACCTCAGAGTCCATATTGGTGTGGGGCGTATTGATAATTTAACTGAGTGGTCACCATAATATGACATATGCAAAATGTGGCAGAAAATGTGAGCAAATTCTAGAAAATTCTCCACCAAGGGAGCATCAAAACCTAAAACAGACATGCAAAATAAGTTGGTTGATGATGGTGATCTATGCTCCGGCTTTTTGTGGGCAGTGACAGCTCATCACAACATCGGACATTAGTGGAGTGTGTGTGTGTGTGTGTGTGTGGGGGGGGGGGGGGGGTGCAAGAGGGGTTCACACCCCTCACATTTTCCCCCTAAGGTGGCCATCTCTGTCCTGACGTGGCGTTCGAGGCCCTCCTGTCCACGGCCTGGTGTGAACTGTCGAGGTGGTGTGTGTGATCCAGGGGAGGTTTTGCCTGGTTCCTTTCGAGGCCCTCGGGTCCAGTGTGTGTGTTTCGGGGGGGGTGTGTTACCGTCGGTGGTAATCCAACCCGAGCTGTCTAGATAAGGTGCTGGTTGCCCGGTCAACGGCGGCCGCTTTGCTGAAATATTAATAATCTCCCTGCATGCTCATGAGTGCGTGTCAGCCTTTTTTTTCCAGTTTTTTTTCTTCGTTTTTCCTCGCCAGCCCACGTTTTCTCAGGTCCTCTGTTTGTTTTTCGCATGTGTGCTCAGTCTTCGCAGAGTTCATTCATTGGCTCTCTGTCAGTCTGTCCTGTGCCTTTTGGAGCAAATGGTAGGAAAGTGTGAGGATGTTTTAGGCCCGGCCGTGGTTTTGGAGCCTTTGGTCCAGTTCTGGGTCCCTCTGGCTGGGCAGGGGAGGCTGGCCGAGAGGGCCTGGCCTCTGGGCTCCATTTGTCTCATGGGGTACGGGTTCTCGATTAGTAATCGAGAAGGATGTGATTTTTAGAAGCAGTGGGTCTGCCCAGTGGCAGTATATGAAATCTGTCTGCGC